CACCAAACTCAAATGCCTCTTACATTATGGGGTGAAGGTAGTATTAGTTAAGGGACTTGTATTAAATTGGATTTGTTTTGGTTTTCTACAAAACAATATGCCCTTGTTTATAAAATTGTCTTTGCTACCTAATTATCTTTTCTAAACATGCACTTTGCTTTTATAAAGGTTAACTTAAATTTGTAAGATGTGCTTAATATATACTCCGTACTTAAAACTACTTCTTCCGTTCTTTAATTATTGCAACATTGTGATTTTTGCACTATTCACAGATCTTACTTTGATCACGATTTTTTACTAATATACATAATCAAATTATTACGTATAAAATGTTATTAAATTCCTATCAATGTGAATTTCCAAAATATCAAATTTTTATAATGTTTACTGTTAGTCCCAGAATTCTAACAATCATACAACCATAACAAAGATAAAGAAGCAGATAGAAAGAAATCGACAAGATTGAACGCGAATCTGATATACCGTATGAATCTGCCGCTACTCTCCCTGGAGAAGGAGAGCAGCGGCAACCTAATTTCTCTCTATCTCTACGCCTCTGCGTCTCTAAGCCTCTCTCGATCAGTTAGGTTCCCGTAAGTTAGCCTCCTTTTATAGGAGAAGTTGTCTAACTTACGGGTTACAAGGAAGCCCACGGACTGATACACATTTGTGGCCCGTAATACACTTTTAATTAATAACTACATAAATACAAAGATAACTAACTAGATTGAACACCATAAAATATTCCCAACAATCTCCCCCTTGGTGATCAATCGTGTTGAATCAGCATTGCAGCGCAGATATCTTTGTCTTTGTTGTTATTGAGCTTCCTTTGTCTTTGAACTTGACTTCTGAGGAAGGCTATCTGAAGAAATCCTTGCAATCTCCCCTTTGATGTCTTCTTGACAATATGATCTTTGATGCCGGGGGTTGAGGGACCTTCTGTATCTTGCATGTAGTCCTTGCCTTCCAGAAGTTGCTCTTGATCAGCTTGGATGAAGTCCGGTGACGCCTCTAGAATGAATATTCTTTGGAGAAAAGGAGACGCCCATGGAATTTATCTTCAGGACGCGAGTATTTGACCTCTGTCTCCTCCACAATGTAGTCTTTTTGACTATTTGGAATGAATGCATTTGAGGAGAACTTGTCGGTGGCACAGCGGAACATAATGATGGTTGATTTGTGAGTGTAGCTGACCATTTGATTTGAGTTGCGGAGATAGTAGAGAGGGTGTTGATTTTTGTGATGGAGGAGTGAAGTGTCCCAGAATGATTTGTTCAGTGTTAACAGCATGTGGACCACTCTCCCCCTCATGACGATCCGATGAATCAGGACGTCATGCTTTTATTCTTTTATTCTGCGGAAATAAAAACATGAAAAACAAGCAGAATCTAAAAAAGATAACGTAGCCCCCCGGGGTCGTGAAGACGCCCGTTATCATCACTATAGAGATAAACTCTAAAGCAATGGCCTGAAAATGTTGGTGATTCTTATGTTGCAACAGCAGGACTTCCTTCCAATTATTGGTCTACATCTGTAATAGATGAGCCCTATGGAAGTTCTCGCAAGTCTTGAAGACTAGCAACTGACTCTAAAATGTGTCTGTGTCCTAGAAAATTTCAAAACATTTGGGAAGTGAGTAACTAGACACGACGTGATCAATGAAAATTCAGTGGCATGGGGCTGAGGCCACTGTAGTCAGTATTACTTGCCTCGGAAGGAGACAGTAATGAGAGATGCGGTTCCCCGTGAACTATGATTAAACACCTGTCTGTTGGGAGACAAGTGAGTGGTTTAGGGTAGGGTTGTGCATGCGCCGTTTGGACAAAATGCAGCGACTTCTACTCGGGATCTGAATAAATTCAGTCCTGAACCTATGGGGATAGTCCAGAGTATTTTAGTGGCTAGGAGCAAATGTTCAATTCATAGCAGGCAATTGAGGTAGCAGACTCATCATTGATAATTGTTTTTCTTCTCACTTGAGCCTTCTGCTTCCTAATGCTCATAATGTTCACTCACTCACTCGCTCACTTACGCACTTACGCTCGGCTTTGTCCCTTGGGTAGGCTTAGTTGGGTTTACTAAGCCATAGGGACATGTTCTCTCTTTACTTTCTTCATTTTGTCTCTGTGTTCCCCCTCAACTGGAGCACCCGGTATGCTTTGTCATTGTTAGGCACCGGGAGGATAACATTGAACACTCCCCCTAGAATGTTGCATCCGTTGAGAGATTCTTTGCTTTGTCGGTGTAAGGCGTCAGGAGGAGAAAACTGAAACTCCCCCTCAGAATGTGCAAGGATTGATTGCTCACAGCTTGTCATACCCGCCATGTGTGTGGAGCAATCTAAACATGTACCACACATGACGGTTTCCCTGAGCTCACCATGTAGAATTTCAGCATATTGATGAACACATAATGTTGATGAGTCAGGGGAGGCTTCAGCGGTTGATTGTTGATTGTTGTAAGATGACCGTTGACGCGAGGTTGATTGAATTATCTACGATTTTCAGACCTTTACATTGAAGTTTAGAAAAGTTTTGACCTCAGGGTTGACAATGAAAGAGTTTGAACAGATTTGCCTAAGTTTTGGCCTGGACATCGGTGATTTACAATGTTTGTCGGAAAACTAACGTTTTGACCCTCAAAGACTGCGAGTGAGGGCGCGTGAGATTGGGTTCTGGGGCGTAGCCCGAGAATTAATGTAGATCTTTGCGTTAGCTTTCCAACAAAAAAAGGTTTGCTCAAATCGGATCACCGAGTCAAAAGTTATGGCCAAAACAGTGCGGTGTCGCAGAAAATCTCTAATTTTGAGTTTTTGAGGAATTTCTTCGAAGATGAGGTGCTCGATGTTGAATGTCGAGAGCAGGTGGATTTTAAACAAAATTCTAGAGATTCCCTCGAAGAATAATGGCCAAATCCACCTGCAAACAAACCTCAGAATATCGAAATCTGCAGAATTTCAAAATGTTTGAACATCGAAAACTTTGGAGTTTCGAAAACCTCATAATCTCGAAAACTTGCTGTTTGAAAAACATCAGAACATCGAAAACTCATGAAACATATATAAGCAGGGAATCATTTAGAGATCCTTATAATGTAAAGCTTCGATGAACTGCAAAGGATGTCAAGATTCGAATTGTGAGTTCCAAGAAACTGCAAACTTTGAAAGATTCAAAACATCGAGAAATTTTGAAAATCTCGAAATCTTCAGAATGTCGAGATCCAAAACATCGAGATCCCAAATGTCGAAATCCCAAAACTCGAAATTCCTAAACTCGAAATTCCAAATCTCGAGATCACAAATCTCGAGATCTTGATTTCGAGATTCAAATCTCGAGATCTTGATTTCGAGATTCTAATCTCGAGATCTTGATTTCGAGATTCAAATCTCGAGATCATGATTTCGAGATTTGCATCTCGAGATCTTGAATTCGAGATTCAAATCTCGAGATCAAGATGTCGAGATGCAAATCTCGAGATCTCAAATGTCGAGAAGAAGAAATCGAGTCCCTAAATGTCGAGATCCTGCAAAACGAAAACATTGATTTTTGAAAATCTGAAACCTGTTCTGAATAGCCCTGAAAGTCGAGATTCTCCTGTATGAGTTTCAATCCAAAAACGTTTCTGCAGCAGTGAAAAATAAAGATTTCGAGATCTCAATGTAGAGATCTTCGAAATATAAAAATTGCAGAAAACGAAAAAAGAGGTATGCTGCTGGATCGGTTTTGAAAGGCGAATCCAATAGTATGATTTTTACAAAATTTCGTTCACAAACGAGATTACAAGAGCAAATCTCTACAAGTAGAAAAAACTGAAGAAAAAACAGAGCAGTTCTTCGTTAAATCCAAAAATCGCAGACAGATCCAACCTGTTTCATGCCTCGGCTCTGATACCAAATGTTAGTCCCAGAATTCTAACAATCATACAACCATAACAAAGATAAAGAAGCAGATTGAAAGAAATCGACAAGATTGAACGCGAATCTGATATACCGTATGAATCTGCCGCTACTCTCCCTGGAGAAGGAGAGCAGCGGCAACCTAATTTCTCTCTATCTCTACGCCTCTGCGTCTCTAAGCCTCTCTCGATCAGTTAGGTTCCCGTAAGTTAGCCTCCTTTTATAGGAGAAGTTGTCTAACTTACGGGTTACAAGGAAGCCCACGGGCTGATACACATTTGTGGCCCGTAATACACTTTTAATTAATAACTACATAAATACAAAGATAACTAACTGGATTGAACACCATAAAATATTCCCAACATTTACTGATACATAATTAAATATAATTACAGTCAAAATTGTGCATTGGCAAACGTGAAAGTCAAACTGTTGCACGAATTAAAGAACGTAGGATAGTACTATATTCCAAAAAAGGTTAAAAAACAACCATCCTACAAATCGAGACCTAATGATGTTTTTAGTTTAGCTGACATTTTCTGGTACGATTCAATATGTTTAAATCGGGTCTGGTCTAGTATATGTATGTTTAATGTGTATTTTACAATTGCCCAATTCTGATCTGATCTGTTTAAGTTTCATCCGGTTTGGGATTGAAACCAGTCTAATTAAAAACATCTTGCATATTCTAACTTTACACGTAATCAGATCAAAATCTTGAAAAATCTTGGATTGGTCAACAAATCAAAATGTATATTAGGATTAAAGATTAACTGAGTGAGCTAAATATGAAAAATGAAAAGTTTACCCGAAAAAAATTAGGGGAAAAAAGTTTATCCGCCTTCTGCCCACCATAAGATTAACATACATCACTAATCAATATGTATGAATACTTCTGTTTTGCGGTTTGACTTCGAACTTGCTCACTTCTATAGTTCTATATGATGTTCAAAGTGAAAGCATTGCTATGGAAAGTTAATTAGGGGGGACTATATCCCTTACCTTTTTTCACGAATACTCCGTATATGAAAACACAAACCCGTGAACTAATTAACATAATCCTTTGGTGATTGAATATTGATAATGTTGTTGCTTTTTTCAGCGGTTTCCTTGGTTTAGAATTGGATATTTAATTACGTGGACATCTATTTATGTCATTTTCCAATGGGCTCTCCACGCCTGCAACCAAATTTGGTAAACAACAACTCTCATATTTTCATTTTTCCCATACTTATTCTTTTACTCAAATGATGTGATCTTTAAAATTCATGTTATATGTACAGGTGGCCATACCCATTCCTTAAATTGTCTTCTCCATTTGCTCCTTTATGGTATGCAATCTTGATTCAATTTGCTTCTTTTAAATTTATTTCGCGTGATTAATTAATACTTTAATCAATTCTAATGATATAATGATGACGATGATGATGATTGTGATGAAAATTCAGGTATTCATCGTTGGGGTTAATGCATATACCATGCTATGGCATGTTTGTTATGGTAATGAAGTTCAAACACCATTATCTGTCCAAGAGGTTTCCTCTGTCTTATCAGTGTGCAAGATGATAGAAGGATTGAAGGGTAGATGTTTACTCCGTGGCCAACGGCGAGTTGCCAAACAGAACTTTGATTTAGTTAGATATCTTCACAGGGGAGCTGGAGTTAAGGAGGAACACTTTCAAACTCCTCTGTATATTTTGATTTTGAGATTGGGGGAGTGGGAGGGGGGCATTTGACAGGAAGGAAAAACAAATGAAAATGGGATTTAATAGTAATGTATTTATTACACATTTAAACCTCATAATGAATGAGGAATGGGGATAGTGAGGTTTGTTTGTAGGAATATATAAACAAAGTCCTGAATCGTGGATTACTTTGGTAGTACTAGTACACAATATTGGATTTAATGAATCAGACTTCTAACATAAACATTGATGAATAAATCCTTTCGTACACGTCCAAAGCCCCAAACCTGAATTCTTTATCCGTGTCATAAACAATTTAGTATTTATTTCACAAAAATAAAAAAAATTAAAGAAAATGTTTACGCACACACAAAACTGATCGAGTGGGTGCCGGGCGTGTATGAGTAAGATGTGTACACTATTTACATTGATTCTCTTGTGTATGCATTTTAGTTGAGCCTTGCTTCTACTTGAGCCTCAACTATGAGCCTACACAATACATGCATGAAATCATGGAAAATAGTCCTTGTTGGTCCAAAAATGGACGCTCCTAATCTTTTCAAGAAAGTTACGAAAGAATACTCAATGAGAAATAGAAAATATGAAAATGGAAAGTTGCTAGAGAATTTAGTAACGAGAAGTAGGTTGGACATTTGAGTTCCCTGGACGTTACTCTTCCGGGTTTTCGGCCATGCTGGTTCGTAGGTTGGACATTTGAGTTAGTGTAGTATTGATTGTCCCTGGATGTTACTCTTCCGGGTTGTCGGCCATGCTGGCTCGTAAGTTGGACATTTGAGTTCACTCTTTGCCGGACTAAAGGATGACTCTTTATTGAACTAGCAGAGTGACTCATGACTGGACTGGTAGGCAGGCTCCTATCTCGGCTGATAGGCAAACTCTAGCCTGGGTGTTGCTCTTCCGGGATGTCAAATCAGATGCTTGAGCTCCTTCCTTGGTGGGGTGACAGGCAAGCTCCTCAATGAGCTGGTAGGCAACAGGCTTCTAGTTGGGCTTATAGACAGCTTCTGACTGGGGTGGAGGATAGGCTCCCCATTGAGATGGAAGGTAGGCTCCCCGTTGGGATGTAAGGCATGCTTCTAGATGGGCTAGTAGGCAGGTTTCTACTTGGAATGGAAGGCAGACTCCCCTCTGGGTTGGAAGGCAGGCTCCCCGCTGGGCAAGAAGGAAAGCTACTCGCCGGGTGATAAGTCCGTATTTCAACACACATTTGATGCGTGTTGAAATCCGTTTTAGATAGTTTTTGTAGCTTAAATAATGACTCGACTACCTACACGTTTGATTTCTTTATGAAGTTCGAAACACTAACACCGAGTGTATTTATATTTGAATTGAAATTTGCTAACATCATTTAAAATGTCTATTGTATGTATATTTTACGTACAACTGATATCCAACTCAAGATATTGGTGAATTCAATATAGATAATTTGCTAATTACATGGTTTTAAAATGTCTATTATGCGTATATTTTACGTACGTACTATTGATATCAAACTCAAGATATTGGTGAATTCAATATAGATAATTTCTTGGGGATTGAAGATGCATAGAGTTCAAAATTAACGAATCAAATAGTATTGGCTGGAACCATAAATGCATGTTTATGTCCTTCTGACTCTTTCCTTTCATCATCGTCCTCGAATCGAGCTCCGACCTCTCTCTTTTTGGAAGTTGAGGCTTGCTCGTCTTTGCCCTCAATCTGGACGTTCTTCTTTTGAGGGGGGTGTCCGGGTCATGAACTTCCTTCTCATTATTCTTCTTCTTTCCATCACTAGCTTGAGGCTTTCCATCCTCTTCCTCTCGTTTTCTTCTCTCTTTTTCCTCCACCCCCGCTTGTCGATCGGCCCGTTGTAAGGCTTCCTCGTGAGAAGTCGGGGGTTGTCGAATGAATTCCTTGCACAATTCACATGATCTCAAGACATTGGCGATGATGGCCAAGACTGCTTTGTCGTCTAGGTCGTCAACCATTACAGATTCATCCCTCCAACGAGCCAAAAAGGAGGTCAAGGTCTCCCGGTGCCCCTACTTGACTCCCATAAGATGACCAAAGTTCTTCTTTGAGTCCTTTGAACTGGCGAATCGTGCTATGAAAGCTTGGGCTAACTCCCAGAAATTCTGTATCCTACCATTCGACAAGGAATCATACCATTCCCGGGCAGGTCAATCCAGGGTCACAGAGAATATTTGGCATCTTATGACGTTTTCGTAACCCATCATTACCATGTAGGCTATATACATGGAGACATGATGTTTGGGGCAGCAGAGCATCCATAATCTGCCGGATAAATGGCTCAAGAATTCTCACATCATGGGTGAGGTTAGCTTCTCCATCTACCACTCTCCTTAGGCCATCAAGGCGCCTCCTGAGGTTGTCCATGTCTTGGCCGACCTGATGGCGAGGCAGGGGGTATGATCTCTACGGGCTCACCGATGTTCAGGGATCTCATGTATGGGATCCCTCGACGCTCACTGCGATGGTGGGAAGAAACGGCCGCAGAGGATGCTTCTTTGCTCCTCTCGACCCCTCGAACGGAGCTTGTCATGGACAGAAACCCTCATTACCCCCATGTGATCCATCACTGTGTTAGTATATATGTCCTACCGAAAATCACTTTTTAGAGACATATGTACTTGATCACATTTAGTTTTATATATTTGATATATACGATATTACACATTGATGATTAAGTATTTCGATTGTCAATATCTTATTCATGATTGTGTTCTCTTGGACTTATTTTGTCAATAAGTAAGTGAGAGCTTATATGATATACCATAAGGTCCTAAAATAGCCCCAATCAATGATCATCTAGAATGTGATGTTGATGATATGGGATAAGATTGGTATCTGGACTGCATCATACTTTTAGAAAGTATAGTTGATCTCACAACTATGAGTTCTTGTAATTCATGATGGTCACATAGATATTTTAGAGGATATTGGCATACCCACCGAGAAACCATTTGATAAGTTCTATTCATGTGTCTATGGGATTATCGGCGTATAGAGTAGTGTAATAGTCCTCCGACTTGAGGTCAATACGTACTACATGTGCGGAGTGATGTACTTTGACAATGATCAACGCTTGCACTCTAATCGGGGTAGATACGACATGTGTTGGGTGCATCATGAAATACATGGAGTAGTACTTGAGCCAAGAAAGAATTCATTCCTCATAATAGATTAAGAGAGAACATTGTACTTTTCATATATAGATGGATCATAAAGTCATTGGCCAATGCAAATGTATATTCGTTTTGGATATCGAATATGATCATTATGGATCATCTAGAAAGATTGAGAGATAGAGACTAAGTTATTGGAGTAGACACAATAATCAAGTTCTAGACTTAGTTGAATGTTCGTTGAATGAAAAGACCGTATCACTATGAGCTCTATATTACAGGGAGTTTGAATAGTCATCGCAAACGTCCTTATATATTAAGTTTGTTTGGTAAATCGTCTAGGGATTCTACTAAGACCTTAATTTGATTAGTGCTTAATATATAAGGCCCTATGGGTCACACAACAAGTGATTATACCTTCCGAATGAATTGTTAGAACGAATTAAATATTATTAATTGGATTAAATAATACTCCGTATTTAATTCGCAATACTGGAAATGAATTAAATATTAATTAGATTAAACATATTTAGTTCAAGAAGTTGAAGGAGAGTTCTATTTGATAGAATTAATTAAAGTAGAATAAGTTAGATTAGTATACTTAATTAAATGTATTTATAATTAAATAAAGTTGGTAATTTCTTGAGTTTAATTTGGAATTAAAATATATTCAAGAAATTACAAATAATATAATAATAATAAATAATATATGTTATGAGAATAAGGGTGGTGGCAGCCCCCTATTCTCCATAACATACATATTGTTCAATCATTATTATTATTTACTATTATAACTTTATTTAATTAATTGATGTGTATTGATCCCATGAGGACTAGAACTCATTAACGAGAAAGACTTTCATTGTGATTGGGAAACTGGTTTAGAACTAGTATAAATACATCCTCCTCCTTCATAATTAGAGACAAGTTTTCGGATTCAGTATTACTAGTTTATTTCCGTGCGAAGAGATTTCCTAGCCTTTCTCTAAGGGAGATCCAACCGTTCTTTCGGAAAGGAGAAATCACGTGGATACTTAAGGTCAAGGATTATCACCGCTAGACTGGAAGATCTGTAAGTTCTAACTCAGATTTGTTATTATTATTATATTCGTTGTTTTGTCATAATCAGGAAAGATCCGTTTGGGAAAATTTAAACTTCCGCTGTTGTACTTTCGAGTTACGTTACATCAATTTCTTAACACACTGAGTTCCTCGATGTCTAATGGGAATGTCATGGAAAGAAGTCCCTGCTGCTTCCATATACCTATGCGTAACAGATACCTTTGCCACATAAGCTAGAATCCCACCTAGGCTCGAGACCTGCTGATCAGGTCAGTCTGGATGTAGGTTCCTTTTGCGGGTCATGGTCTCCTGTTAGACCCAATTGGCTCAATTAATTAATTAAATAATTAATCAATTGATCTCAATTAATGGACTTAGTTTATCAATCCCGGCCCATACAATGGATTTCACGCGTGTTATCTTCAATGGGATCATGAGTACAATCCATGGTACCATCATTTTGTTATATAGTTCCCTATGATACAAAATGTACGTATATTATTATACTCCTAACGATGGTACATACAAATTTAAATATGTTAAGTATTTGTCTAGCCTCCGTCTCCTTATATATAAGCCATTCAAGCTAAGAAATCATTTGAGCTTTATTTTGAATCATCCCATGAAGTTCAACGTGTATAACTCTTAATTGAACCAGGCCACATTGCGTGCAATATTCGGAATTCTCAACAAAATTGTACAAACCAAGAATCCTGCAACACGAAAAAGCAAATCAATAATGAACTGTGTTGAAAAAGATTGATAAAAAATAATTTCTCTTTTAGTACTAATAATCTCTTATCAACTAGGTCATGTCTTTAACTTTACCATCAATTGGTACATAACCATTTTTCTTGCTTATCGATATTTGTATAATATTCCTAAAGAATGAAGCAAAGCAAGTCTAGGACTTGCTGAAATGGAATCATTTTTGGGTATTCAAAAAGGGCCGAAGGAACCCTACCTGCTAGCGTGTCCATGAAGCGCCATGTTCTTCTAGTGGAACCAGAGTGAAATGCAGCTGCAGCATACGGAGTATGAATACAATTACTTTAGTTTTCTTGAAAAACTGAATCACAATCGCACATTTGAATAAGGGAGAAACTAAAAGATAAGGTTATATAGAAGCAGCGTAAGATACTCTTAAAGTACCGTACCTTACCTAAGTTGACCAATTAAAATATTGTAATCGAACAAGGTATCATATCTTACTTATGTGGACCAATTAAAATATTGCAATTGAACAATTTAAATATTAATAAATAATGAGATAATGGCTCGAACCAATCCAATGTATTGTAGGTACAACCATACATTACCCTGATTTATCTATGTCACTAGTAGCTAGAAGTCTAGAACTAACCCTGACACGCCATCACCATTCACGCCATCATATGTGAATACTAACTATGACTACGTCGATAAATTCAATTCTAACGACTTTTTTGGGAGATTTTGGATGTTTAAAATTGTACTGAGATTTTCTGGTTTGATTTCATTTAGAATCCGCTTAGTAACACTGAAATTGGTTGAATCGATTGATTCTGATGAAATATATGAAATTATGGCTGAAGTGGCTGGATTGGCCGATTCTGATTATTTATGAAAAAATTATATTAATAAAAACTAAAATGATCCTCTAAAGTAATTTCAGCCAATATAACAAGAAACTGTTGACTCATAAGCGTGATAACAATGTCAACAAACAGGCTCTTAGATTGTTTAATTCCAGTCTGCTCTAGTCTGATATGTATACGTTCGATGTGTAATTAAGTTGACTTTGAGACTATTTAAGTGAATTTTGATATGGTTTGAGACTCAAACCAATCCATTTAAAACATTCGAGAAGAAGTCACCGCTGATCAAGCTAGTCAAAGGAAAACTCACATACATTTAGAAGTTGGGAAAAGTGCAAATAAGCCCTCGAACTAACCGAAAAAGTGCAAATCACGCCTTTTATAAGAGGCTCTGTCCGGCCATCGTCATTTGGGGAGATTTCCGATGGAATTTTATGATAAATTTTTGTTAGCATCTTCTTCATTAAGTCTAGTTTACCCATACCAAATTTAAGCTAAAAAATCAATCGGGAAGGCAGTCAAATGATTTTCCGAAATATATTCCGCTGTTTAACTGCGCAGTTATCTGCAAACATTTATTTGACTGCCTTCCCGATTGCATTTTTAGCTGAAATTTGATATGGGTAAACTAGACGTAATGAAGAAGATGCTCAAAAAATTTCATCAAAAAATTCCAGCGGAAACCGCCTCAAATGGCGATGGTCAGACAGAGCCTCCTATAAAAGGGGTGATTTGCACTTTTTTCCGTTAGTTCGAGGGCTTAATTGCCCTTTTTTCCGTTAGAAGTTTGATGGACATTATATAAATCTATTGAAAACAATGTTGATTAACTCATAACCGACCTTAAAAAATAAAATTACTCCGATTTTCTCATCACAATAATATCGGGTCTAATTGTCCCAAAAGTAAAATTACCTGCAGGTGAATCACAGTGCGAGGTAGAATTCCAAGAACCACACATACACGCATTGGTATATTTACCGGCGGCTGCCGCCGCATATCCACAGATCCCACCGGTTGCCTGGCACGATTTACAAAAGACTTCATCTCCATGGATAGAGAACCTCACTCTAATCCCATATGACCACGCATCAGCACCCTGTAATCTTAGGGGCGCAAGGCTATACGCACTGCTATAGCCTTGACAATCTAGCTCGGTCAAATTTATGGCCTTCATTGTTCCGAATGAGACCGCACAGCACTCCGGCGGGCCGGCGTAAGCGGGCCACATCCTCTTCTTAGCCGGTGGTAGCCCGATAACATTGTTCCACGCCGGGCACTCGTAGTAGTCCTCGCAGCCCATGCCGGATACATTCCGGCATGGGAAGTTTTTGCCTCTGCGGAATCCCTGAAAGAGCGAGGATTCCGCGGAGCATCCTAGGAGCATGAACACGTTGTCCGTGGTGGGCTGGAGGTAGGTGGCCCGCCATGGCTCGACTGTGAAACCGTTACCGCGGCCACCGAGCACGATGGCGGAGCACGTCGACATGTGAGGATCGTCGAGTGTGAGGGTTTTGTAGGCGTAGTCTATGTTCAAGACACGGTAGGATCCGGATTTTACGTGGAACATGAGGACGTCATTGATGCAGAACAAGAGCTCCCGATATCCCGGATGGCCACATCCGGGACGGACCCCGAAAGGGTAGTCAATGCTTAAGTTCCCACAGTATGATCTACATGTGAACGCCGCCGTATGACTGCCGTCAGAGATTGTTGCAGCCATATCCATGGCTAGTAGGAGTGCTGCTTGGAAAAGAACAACATAAATCAAGGAGAAATAGAAAAGCAAACCCATTGTAACGTACTACAAATTTGACCGATTCGAGATGTTTTAGCTGGAAATGGATTGGAAGAATTGGAATTGAATTGAAGAATTATAGCATAATGGCTTACTCCGACCATATATCGATCTTTATAAAGTAAAAAAGCAACATTAATGCGCTGCTTATAGTATTGAAGAAAAATAAAACAATGCGCTGCTGATACCTTGCTTGACCGGGGTACTTATAGGATGGCCAGCTGGGGATTAAAGCATACGAAGTATAATAACACATCCAGAATTGCTTTATTGTTACCTCCGTTTCAGTTGATGTGAAAATGAAATTAATCTGGATGTGTTATTATGAAAAAGTAGTAAAAATAAAAATAGAGGGAAAATGTCACATTAATCGGGAAATGTCACGCTTAACGTAGATATGGGAAATTTGTAGTAGTACTACGTACTAAACTACGTTAAGCGTTGACATTTTTTATTAATCTAGTTCAGAAAAAATTGTTTTTTTTGCATAACAAGATTCGATAATATATTTATACATGATAATATGACAATGATATTAAAATATTCTTTGTTAAAAATATCATCAATAAAGTACTAGTATAAATTTGTTAGATTTCACATAAATATATTAGTGAAAATGATAGATTAAAGTTTATTATTTTTGACTAGAAATTTCAAAAATGACTAAATAAAAAGGGACGTAGGTAGCAGCCTATAAGCCCAAGTTTCTTTTGTAGAAGTATTGATGGACTCGGGCCGGGTCGGGCCGCCGGGTTGTATGACATGGGCCCGGGACCGGCCCGAGGGTTGGACGGGTCCGGTTCGGGCCGGGCCACCCGCCCGGGTCACGGGTCGGGTCCGGTTCGGGCCGGGTCGGTTAATTTTTGTTTTATAATTTATATTTTATAGTTTATCGTTTTATACTTTTATACGAGTATTAAAAACAAACTTCAATTGCATTTGTTTGAAATGAAATAGGAACTACATTTGAAAATTAAAACAAACTTTAAGAGATAAACATTTTGAAAATTGTAATCAATCGGAACTTCCCGCACCTCCCGATCCTTTGGCTTTGTCACATGACTTCATATGCTTGATTGCCATCCCGAATCCGCCTGAAGCCCCCATGCTACATTTTTTCTCGCACCATTTGCAAATTGCGTACCACATCCCGGTCTTCGGGTCCTTCTGCTTATCAAAATTATACCGTATAATGGCATCTTGATTTTCCATCCTAACTTCTTAAGTATAAAGTTATAAACTATAAAGTAGATATATAAATAATAAATACTTCGTATAATATATTGGAGAATAAGAGAATTAGAGAGTAGAGAGTTAAGATTAGGATTTAGGAAGAATTGGAGAAGAGATATGAAAAAATGTTTAAGATTAGGAGTATTTATAGGTTTTTTTACCCCCCCACCACCCCCCACCGGCCAACCCCCCGGACCCCCCCCTTTACCCCACCCAACGGCTATATAGCCGTTTGGGTTGTCCCCAGCCCCACCCCCAACGGCTAGTAGCCCAAAGCCATTTTTTTTTAAATTAGATCGGACCCGGGCCCGGGCCCGACCCGGCCGGGCCGGGTCACAATAATCTAGCACCGAGCCCGCCCCGCCCCTTCCCACCGGTTCGGGTCCATACCCGGTCCCGGACCGCCCGACCGGGCCGGTCCTGGGCCCGCACAGTACCGGGTCGGGCCGGGTCACGGGCCGGGTGCCCCGAACCGAATCCAACCCTATGTAGAAGTTTGAATTAGTTGTGGAGGGGAGGGAGTTCCATGGTGCAAAGATCTGTGTTCCAACAAAAAATCATGGGAGTATTAAGTTTCACTAAGTATGGTTGCCAAAGATACCGGAGAAAATAGGTATTTTGACTTGAATATTACTAAAAATAGGGTAATAGACAAAAAATTACATTTTTTTATATTTACAAAAATGTGACCAACAACACAATTATACTTTGCAGAGACTCCGACCACGGTGACTTCGCCCATAGTGACTCCGACAAAAGTGATTCCGACCAAAGTGACTTCAGATACTGTGACTCTGGCCAAAGTAACCCCGTCATAGTCATGCCTGGCGTGACTAGTAATGTTCCTCCTTCACAATAGCGACTTTGGCAGTCAGAGTGACTTCGGCGTGACCAGTCATGCCCCTCCTCCACCAGCCCCGCCACAACCAAATTCCCAGCAACGACGCACCCAGCCCCACCCAACAATGCCGCACGCAACACAGCCCCTCAAGCCAGCAACCTCATTTGCCTACATTAAATTTGCGCCATCGCATGAACTCATATCTGAAACAAAGAAGGAAAATCCCCCAAATTTGATCTGGAATCTCGACTGTGCGACCAAATATGCTCTACAACGGCGATGTGACGGTGATTTGCTGTCAAGAAAGGTGAAGAAGAAGAATAAAGGTCTGGTCGCTGGCTAGTCGTTGCGGCAGAGAGGCAAGGCGAGGCAGATCGGCGTGGAGAGAAGGCGCCATGGACGTGAGAAGGAAAAGGTGCCTCCACCCTGCGCAGAGATGAAGGAAGATCGATGTGTACGGGTATACCGTGTAGGGGTGACAATATATAAAATTAGTAACCGATAACACGGTTAATCGGAAATTGGTTAACCAAAATGCAGTTAACCGGCCATGTCCACCCCTACTTTGGATTCACTAAGTTGTCATGACGTCTTGAATACTTTGGATGGTCGAATCCATATCAAACTCAAATTCAACCAACACAATGAACAATTCATAAGAACAAATTATATAAAATCAAGCATACTCACAACATTACGAACTTATATATTTTATAACATCGAAAGCATATAATCCGAAAAAATGGCAAATTCGAACTAAATCAACAAAAACTTAGGTTCACCAAAATTGATGAAATACCTCGATTTAAATGGATGAAACTCGGTAGAATGGAGTACAAACATGATTACTCCTCCGCCTCACTTTCTCCCTTGAATTTGCACCTCCATTGGATTGTCTCCTGCCGAAAATGGTGTTTGTCGCCATTCATATTCGCAGCAGCGGCATAGCATTGGGTTGGGGGTTTGGGGCTTCCGTCGTTCGTCTTTTAATTTTCACTGGTACGCAATATTTTATTAATGAATCGTGACTTCGACTGGCGACTTACAGAACCGCCACTTCGAGTGAAGGCTTCCCTTAATAGCAGTTAACTCCAAGTCTCCAACGGTATTTTAGTATGAGTAATTACTTTTAACTTAGCCATATATTGGAATTTATTTATTTAATTAGGTTAATCCTGAAAAACTCTAAAAAGGGATAATATCATCATAACTACCAGGATCAGTGATCATTTTCCACTCCTGCACATCCTTTAGTTGAAATCAAATCATAAAGTATAGATATATTGGCTGCATATCACTATATCTGTATCTCGACTATTTGTGAAACAATCTTGTTCCCCTCTCGACTTAGCCGGAATCGGGACACTTTTCCAATTAGCCGGAATCGATATTATATTGAGAGGGATAGAGGATTTTTTTTTGAACCTAAGAGGAGGACAGTCAGAAGATTTCCGTTTAGCTCGGAAGAGGTGGTTCGGAGCTGCGGTAAATAGTAAACCCTGTTTCCTAGTGCATGAAGGGTTGTGCGTATGATGTCAATACCGAAGGAGCTGGAGCAAGTGATAAGGCATAGAGATGGATCGGTGCTGGGGAAAAGGACGATCCTCAAAAGCGACCATTTTCCTTCCTGCCAGAACAAACGTCTTTCTCCCCATATCGATGGTGCACCCAATTACAGAAAGGTTCTATATTCTTTCCAACCTGCGTTTTCTTTTCCATTGATCAGTATCCAGTATCCCGATTGTTAGGAATTCTTACACATTCTTAGCTTAATACAAGCAAGCATATATCATACCATCATAGTTTTAAAGTGTTGTTGCTGCCAATGCTGTGAAAATAAAGAAAGCTGATAATATATGTGACCTCAGGATCTTAAGTTGTGGCATTCAGTTATGCTGCGGTTTCGGGTGCTTTCCAAAACACAACTATTTCCGTGCATTGAGGTTGAGCTTCTGACAGCAACCACAATAGTACTGCCCCAACACGTGTTGCACTAAGCAATTTTAAACTCCCGTTTGTAGAAATGTTGCGAATTAGGGGTGCTCCCATTTAATTCATGAAATTGATTTTGCTCTTCCCGGAAGCATTGATAGGAAGCATTTATAATTGGGATGCCAATAGGCTAGTTTCGCTCCCATCCCACTTCTATTTAAAAATCACGACTCCCGCCGCCTATCAGCCATCTTTGTCCCACCCCACCCAAATACCTGTGGGTGTCCAGAATTATTTTTTGTCTTAATCCCAAAAGAACCTCTAATAGATGTAAATTTATATATACCAACACATACGTAGTATTAACTTATGCACCCACAATCATACACACACATAGATAGATATAGATACACATATAGGGAGGGGTTCTTATGAGAACTTTTAATCTCCATCTTTCATTTTTTAAATCAACGCCGAACACTCTGAAGATGTTATTTTTAATGATCTTAAACTCAAAAGGGGTGTTTTTGTAATTATATTAAAATGTTTACAAAATGCCAACTTGTCAACATTAACCATTACAACAACAACAACAACATCCAAGCCTTAATCCCAAAAGAATTTTGGGTCGGCTAACATGAATCGATCTATGATATCGATGCCAAAAAGAGAAGGCGGACAAGAAAAGGAAAAAAAAGTAAGATAAAATGAATAAAATAAAGATACATAAATATAAGATAATAATAACACAAGAATATAACCAAGATAAAAGAAAAATGAATAAAAGAACATAAAAAAGCTAGAAGATAAAAATAACATAAGAATATAAAAAGATAAGGAAGATAAACGATAAAAGAAACAAGAGAGGAAAGGTAGACAAGACATCAATCGTCCACATGGATGTGCGTCCTTCACTTTGCTCTCTCCAAAGCCATACTCTCATCCAACCCAAGAAGACGCATATCAGTTCTGATTACTCTAATCCAAGTCTGTTTGGGTCTTCCCCTCCCTCTCTTCTCTGACTCTTCTCCCCACCCCTCAAGTCGTCTAACAGCTGCATCACTCGGTCTTCTATGCACATGCCCAAACCACCGCAAACGAGACTCCTGCATCTTATCTTCTATAGGTGCTACTCCCACCTTTTGTCTGATTTCCTCATTCCTCAGGCGGTCTTTTCTGGTATGTCCACACATCCAACGCAACATACGCATCTCTGTCACACTCATCTTTTGAATGTGGCATTGCTTCACCGCCCAACACTCTACGCCATACATTAATGCCGGCCTAATTGCTGTACGATAAAATTTACCTTTCAATTTAGTCGGCATACCTCGATCGCATAGAAATCCTGAAGCACTTTTCCATTTCATCCACCCAGCTCTTATTCTATGACATACATCTCCATCTAATTCGCCATCCTTCTGAATTATGGATCCCAAGTAACGGAACATATCACACACCGGTATCTCCTTACCATCAAGAGTAATCCCACTGTTGCTACCGCTTCTACCTCCACCGAACTTGCACTCCATATACTCAGTCTTGCTTTGGCTCAGTTTGAAACCCTTGCTCTCCAATGTTTGTCGCCATACTTCCAACTTTGCTTTAACACCGGATCGTGTCTCATCAATCAATACAATATCGTCGGCAAACATCATGCACCACGGTATATCTTCTTGAATTGACTTCGTAAGTTCATCCATGACTAAAGCAAATAAGAAAGGACTCAGAGCAGATCCTTGGTGCACTCCAATAGTAATAGGGAACTTTGCGGTCCTCCCTACACTAGTGCGGACACTTGTAGTACAAGCATCATACATATCCATGATGATTCTGATATACTTACGTGATATGCCTTTTCTAGTTAAGGCCCACCAAAGAACTTCTCGAGGTACCCTATCATATGCCTTTTCTAAGTCAATGAACACCAAATGCAGATCCTTTTTAGTGTCTCTATACTTCTCCACAACTTGTCTAAGAAGGTGAATGGCCTCAGTTGTTGAGCGTCCAGGCATAAAACCAAATTGATTCTCCGAAATTTTCACACTTTTACGTAGTCTTTGCTCAACCACTCGCTCCCAAAGTTTCATGGTGTGACTCATGAGCTTAATCCCTCGATAGTTAACACATTCTTGCACATCACCCTTATTTTTAAATAAGGGAATGAGAGTACTCTTCTGCCAACTCACTGGCATTTTGTTGTTTCTCCAAATCATGTTGAAGAAACGTGTTAGCCACTCGATGCCTTTCTCTCCCAAACTTCTCCAAACCTCGATCGGTATGCCATCTGGGCCCACTGCTTTTTTCCGGCCCATTTTTCTGATAGCCTCTTTAACTTCTGTCGTTTGAATCTTTCTCACGAAGTCCCTATTTACCATACACTCTGGTACAGTAAGATCATCAATACCTTGGACTTTATTCCCGTTGAACAAGGTATCAAAGTATGACCTCCACCTCTCTTTTATTTCTTCATCGTCCATTAGTACCCTTTGATCGACATCCTTCACACACTTAACTTTTCCGATATCTTGAGTCCTACGGTCACGAAGGCGAGCAAGTCTATAGATATCTTTTTCTCCTTCCTTAGAATCCAACTTTACATACAATTCCTTATTCACTTTTCCTTTGGCTTCCTTCACAGCTTTCTTTGCTCTTCTTCTAGCCTCTTTGTACTCCTCTATGTTCTCGTCGCTCCAACTTTTGCCCAATTTCTTATAGCATTCTCTTTTGGCCCTTATTGCTTGTTTCACCTCATCATTCCACCAAGATGTGTCCTTTTTTGGTGGCAAACATCCTTTAGATTCTCCGAGTATCTCCTTCGCCACTTTGTTAATGGTGGACTCCATTGGTAACCACACATCATCCATTAACCATTAATTAGATAATTTGATGGTGGAAAATTGGAATTTCAAATTCTTAATTATGAATATGTTCTTGTGGTAAGATGCGTTCTCATAAGAATCCTCTCCTATATACATACACACATATATATTACTACCTCCGTAACATTCATATCTCCCCACTCTAAAAGTAGGTGAGATTATGAATAGTGAAAGAGGTTATAAATTATTGAGGGTATGATGGGAAGATCATGAAGTTGTGTGCTAGAATGAGGGATACATCTAAAAAAGTAGTTGTAATAGTGTATTATTTTCAAAATTATTGAGGGTATGATGAGAAGATTTAGAAAAGGGAAGATTATTTAGTTACAGTTGAAAAAGGAAAGTGAGAAGATATGAATGTTACGGAGGGAGTATATATACATAAAAACATATACTACATCCATTCTTAAATAAATGCAACATGTGGGATTTTACAGGATTCACATGTTCTACTGTGACTACTTTTTAATTATTAATGTATTATTAATTTATTTTAAAAAATATATTGTTAAATTTTTTCATCCTAAATTTTCAAAATCTGATTTTTTTAATTTTTTTTACTAAAAGAGAATTAAATATACTAATGGTCAAAATTGTGCATTGACAAACGTGAAAAGTTGACTGTTGCATTTATTTAAGAACGGAGGTAGTACATATTTGTGCGCACACACATAGAAACAGCTATGAACAACAGTTCATCCAAATACTCATAAGTGATTCTCCATTATTAAGGCAACAATTCCAAATACTAAAAAAGGAATGACTTTCTCATACAACTAAAAGTTCTGATTCTAACTTAAAGATGCAGAATTTGAATTGATGCCGAACACCCACTTATAGTAAAATTCACATTACGCAATACGCATAACAGTCTTACTATTTTTCCGTCCTTTTCGGTAGTAAATGTATTTACAATTCATGACATTTACCTGAAATGAATTACATTTAAGCACAGTTTCACATTTGTCAATGATAGAAAGAATTACAGTATTTTTATGCGAGACGAGTGACATAGCCTGGTGTGATAGTTGGGGTGGGCTCGAAAAATCCATTCATATAACATGTTTTACTTTTTGGCTTCTGCCCCCCGTACCTACACCTATGCATTCTTCAGAATCATGATTTTGCATTTCATAGTGGGGGGGAAGTTATTTTTTCCAAATTTTGGGGTAGTCAAATTGAAATTTAATTTAAATGATGCATTAAAGGTGCTTGCATATTTAATTGGTTCATTGATTAGTAAATCTGAAAAGTAAAGTAGACGTTTGATGTTTCTATAGTCTTCTTATCATGTTCAAACTCTATGGACTGGTATAATGAACTGTCGTTACTCAGGGGCTGCATATTCAATATTTTCTTAATTGAAGTTCCATATTGGCATCTATTAGATGGAAGGAAAATTGCCAATTTCCTTTAAAGGGTCATGATTACTGTGAAACTGTATCTTTTATTTTATTATGTCACAGTAAAAGAATAGCTGTCCTCATTGCAAACAGAGAATACATATACTACGTATATATTAAATATCTAATTCGTAGGCTTGTTTGCCAGCCCCTAATCTGTGCATAATGATATTGCACAGATTAGGGGCTGGCAAGGGAATCCCGGTTGTTCCCTCATGGTTGATTTAAAGCAGTAAAGGGAATCCCGGTTGGAAAATAAGGCAACTCTTACATGCGAATGGACTAAATCTGATTTTTCAATTGATGAATAGATATCTATATATGCTGTTATCTTAGTACTGTTGTTAGTTTATGCATTTTCTTACATTATTGTTCATAGCAGGTCGTTTTTATAATATCTTTCGATATCAAGATTCTAAGAGACGTTAGGGCAACCTTGTTGCCTTGTCCACCATCATATGGCAGCATTTGTAGTTTTGTCTGTTTGGTTCATCTGGCTTCATATTTTCCATCTTGCCTATGGCATTTAGAATGATTTAAGATTCCTTGTGTTTCTTATACTTCTAATAATTTCCTGACTTATTATAGGCTGATTCATTACATGTTCACGGTGTTGCTATCCCAACCATCAGTGGTATCCGGAATGTTCTTGACCACATTGGAACACAGATAGATGGGAAGAAGACTCGTTTTCTCTGGATTAATCTTCGTGAAGAACCGGTAACTTGCTCTTATTCGATTTCCTAGCCAATGCTAGGTTCCAAGGAAGTTATTTGTTACCCTTTACATTAGGAACATATTTGAATAAAATCCTTGTCGTTTTGTTTGTCCATTCTGAACGTTGTATTATATGTATGTGGAAGAGCCCAGTTAATGAATGTTGCATATTTAATGAAACAGGTTGTGTACATTAATGGGCGCCCTTTTGTTCTGCGTGAAGTGGAGATGCCTTTTTCTAACCTTGAATATACGGTGTGTACATATGGAGACTCTTTTTGTTAGAGTTTAGCATATATTATAAAGTGTAAGTTTAAATTATTAGCTAAATTTGGTGCAGATGATCATGTAAAATCCAAGACTGAAATTTTAGCTGTTTCAATTATTAGCTAAATTTGGTGCAGATGATCATGCTCTCAGTCCCAAAAGATTTTGGGGTGGCTAACATGAACAAATACATGCTATCAGAGAAAAAGATAAGAAAGATAAAAAGATAAGGTAAGATAAAAAGATAAAAACGATAAAATAAAGATAAAGAAAAAATGATAAGATAAGAAGGATAAAAAATATATGTATAAAATAAAAAGGATAAAAGGATAAAGAACACAAGAAAGATAAAGAGGATGAAAAAATAAAAGGATAAAAAAGATGAAAAAAGATCAATCTCCACACCGCTATTCTCCCTCCACTTTGCTCTCTCCAAAGTGATACTCTCATTCAACTCAAGAAGAAGCATATCACTCCTGACTCCTCTAATCCACGTCTATTTGGGACTCCTCTAATACAAGTCATCACTTGGTCTTCTACGCACATATCGCTACTCCCACCTTTTTTCTGATTGTCATTGATGGTCCAACAAATTAATATATTTATTAGAACAATGGAGGTAACTGGAAGGATGCTAAACTATGATCATTTGATTGCTGTAAATGAGTTTTTATTTATTTCCTTGAGGAAACTGAACTTATTTATGAGGTTATATTATATACTATTTTGTCATTAACTATGATATGACTTGAATTATGGTTTCAAAAGACCATACTTTAAAAGTCATGGGAGGTTGTAGCAATTTGAATTCCTTGTTTTTGCCACTGAAGTCATAATGTTGTTCGCTTACATGTGATGATTTGAAATAAGATGTCTACTGTATTTATCTATCAAGATCCAAATTGCATGTTTGTTTTTCTCTTATCCCTGTTGTGTATTTCTTTATATCTTGTTGATTGGAGCTTACACTTTTATATTTAACCTAGGGTATTAACAGGGTGAGGGTGGAACAAATGGAGGATCGATTGAAAGAAGATGTCCTGCTAGAGGCTGCAAGGTTCATGGTCATCTCTATTTCTTTTCTAGCTTGTTCTTTTTGTTTTCCACAACTTCTCATTGACAAAAGCTATAATTGACAGATATGGAAATAAGATCCTTGTGACTGATGAACTCCCTGATGGCCAAATGGTGGATCAATGGGAACCTGTGACACAGGATTTGGTGAAAACGCCACTAGAGGTTTGTCATTCAACATTTTTCAGATGCTTAACGTAAGAATGCCAGTGGTATCTAGTAACTCATTTTCTCCCCATAATATGTCTCCAAGTGCAGGTATATCAGGAGCTACAAGCACAGGAGTACCTTGTTCACTATGAGCGTGTTCCTATAACAGACGAAAAGCCGCCCAAAGAGCTGGATTTTGATATTTTGGTCTGTACTCTTTATGAACCTTATGGATTGATTATCTGTTCATTACTTCATTTATCAAATTTATTTAGCATTTGTTTGGTTGTATATCTTTTTGTCTCTGAGAGTCTGAGCAATTTTCCTAGTTTGCATTTTCTATTAAAAAAAGGAGACGCGGTTAAATTCAATTATTCTCCGATTTACAAAATACAAAATCATGTTAGCTCTAATTATTGCCCTTAAAAACATATATACATATGAGTTGTTAGTGAAAGTATATCTAGTTGTAGTAATTGGTAAATAAATAGGGGTGAAGAGGGTGGGTAGATGTTATAGTGATGGTTAAATAGCGGAGTGCACTAGTGATAGAGAGCAGCAACTTGAATTGGAGGAGGAGAGACCGAGACCATTGCTGGTCTACCGAAGGCGGGGACGGGCTTGAGCCCACCTCCGTGGGCTGGGTTTCTTTTTAATAAACTTTTAATTTATTAATTATTCTGTTGTTTCTTTGTTGGGCCTGGGGAGTATTTTAATAAGGATTATGTATTCCGTAATTAGGGTATTTATATCCCTAATTAGGGTTCAGCGAAGGCGGCCATCAAGAATATTCAGTTTGGAAATTCTGTATTCATCAATTGGTCCGGCCTGCTGGTTCCGTTTCCGCCGGAATGACTAGATCTAACACCGAGCGTTTGACGGAGGTGGAGGCCGAACAGGCCTCGATGAACCAGAAACTGGATGCGCTGAGTGCGCAATTAGGTGAGATCGCAGCCGCCCTGGCTGCGCTCACGACGGCGGGCGCAACTGGAGGGAAGGCGACAGCGGCGTCCGGGCCTTCGGCGGCAGCCACCTTCAGCAGCGGTGGCGACTTCGAAGACCAGGGAGGCTTCGCCGCTTCTGGGCGACGTCCGCGAGGCACGCAGGAGGCGCCGTTTCCTTCGTTTGACGGGGAGGATCCCATTGGTTGGATTGCTAGGGCCGAGCAGCAATTTAAATTGAGTGGTACGCCGCCAGAGAGGAAGGTACCAACGGCTGTAGTTGCCATGGAAGGAGCAGCCTTGTACTGGGTAACGTGGTTAAGGATGCGGAAGCCTAGCATGACGTGGGAAGAGTTCGCACAGGCACTGGTGGCGAGGTTTGACACGCGGTTACGGGCAGTCGTTTCGAGCGATTGTCCGGGGTCAAGCAGACAGGGACGGTGGAGGAGTATACCTCGATCCTTGTCCAGTTGGTGTGTCAGGTCCTAGGGTTGTCTGACGAGCATTACCTGGGGTATTTTATGAATGGATTGAAGGGGCCGATTCGGGGTTCGTTACGGTTGCTGCGCCCGAACAGCTTGGAGACACCAATGGAACTAGCCAGAGACATAGAGGACAATCTGTCCTATCAAAGTGGAGGGCGTGGGAGTCAGCCATACAGCAATGCGGGGACACGTTCGGGGGGTTATCCTTGACCAAGTGGGGGTAGCAGTACGGCCACAAGTGGTGGCAGCATTAAGGGATCTAGTAGCAGCTGGCTTAAGGCGCCTGGACAGGTCACTGGGACCCAATCAGGGCTGTCGGGGCAGTCTACGGCACGTTCCAAGTTCACTCGGCTTCCGCCAAGAGTATTAGAAGAATTGCGAGCAAAGGGATTGTGCTTTAAATGCAAGAAACCATTTACCCTGGGGCATGACTGCCCGTTAAAGCAGTTACGAGTGTTGTTAGCAGAAGAGGATGAGGAGTTGGACCTTCAACAACATGACTACTGCGAGATAACCGAACAAGAAGATGTTCCAGAGGATCAGGATGGATTAGAGGGAGGTGAAGGAGATTTTCCAGTCTATTCTATGGCTGGAATTTTCAGTCCGAGAACGATGAGGCTTCAGGGGGTAGTTGCGGGCTGTATCGTGGCTATTTTGATAGACAGTGGCGCAAGCCACAACTTTATTTCTTCGTCCCTGGTCTCTTTTTTACAATTGATCCCGGACAGGACAGGCAGATTTGGGGTGCAATTGGGAGATGGGCATAGACAAGAATCGGAAGGGGTGTGTAGACAACTTCCCATCGTGTTACCGGGGTGTGCTATCACCGCAGATTGTTACGTGTTTGCTTTGGTGGGGGTCAATCTCATTCTGGGCGTGGATTGGTTGGCGACATTGGGAGAAGTCCGGACAGTGGAGAAAATTAACCATGAATTTCGAGATTGGGGGCAAGCGAGTAGAGCTACGGGGTTATCCTGCGATGAGCAGAAATGCGGTTAGCCTTCAAACCCTTTTGAAGACCACTGACGCAGAAATTTGGGCGATACTTCTAGTCTATAACACTGTCAATTTTCCTGGAGCAGTCCCTGGCGCCGAGGATGACAGGGGCGGGCAGCAAGCTACTGGGGCAGTGGAGGATATTCTCAAGCAACATGCGGAGGTGTTTGAGGAGCCGCGAGGGCTGCCCCCTCGTCGCACGACAGACCACCGAATAGAGTTGATGCCCGGATCAAAGCCAGTGTCAGTTCGACCATATAGATATGGACACTTGCAGAAAAATGAGATTGAAAAATAAGTTGACGAAATGCTATGGGCAGGTATCATTCGGCCCAGTTTGAGCCCATTCTCGAGCCCGGTTCTTTTAGTTAAAAAGAAAGATGGAAGCTGGCGATTCTGCGTGGACTATCGGGAGTTGAATAAGTCCACAGTGCCGGATAAATATCCAATTTCGGTGATACAGGAGATGCTTGATGAGCTGGCCGGGGCAGTGGTGTTTTCCAAGATAGATTTGCGCTCGGGCTACCATCAGATAAGGGTGGCTGAAACAGATGTACACAAGACCGCTTTTCGTACACATAGCGGGCATTATGAGTTCTTAGTCATGCCATTCGGATTGACGAATGCGCCAGCAACGTTCCAATCCGCAATGAATGACTTGTTTCGACCCTATTTGCGCAGATTTGTCCTGGTCTTCTTTGATGACATTTTGGTTTACAGTCGGTCATGGGCAGAACACAGGAAACACTTGGAATTGGTTCTGATCATCCTGGAAAAGAATCAGTTTAAAGCCAACAAGAAGAAATGTGCATTTGGGTGCCTGGAGATTGAGTACTTGGGACACATTATTTCAAAGGCCGGGGTGGCTATGGACCCGGCAAAAGTCAGCGCAGTAGTGAGCTGGCCGCAGCCTCGCTCAGTCCGAGAAGTTCGGGGATTTTTAGGGCTGACCGGATATTACAGGCGGTTTGTGAAGGAGTACGGTCTTATTGCACGACCACTTACGACTCTTCTGAAGAAGGATGCACCAGCCCATTTTGTGTGGCCTCCCGAGGCCGAGGAGGCATTTCAGCGCCTTAAAAAGGCACTGACTGAGGCACCCCTATTAGCTATGCCCCGATTTGATCGACAATTTGTGGTCGAGTGTGATGCATCCGGTACCGGCATTGGGGCGGTGCTCATGCAGGAACGACGGCCCATTGCATATTTCAGCAAATCCTTGGCAGATAGAACCCTTTCCAAATCAGCTTATGAAAGGGAAATGATGGGGCTGGCCTTAGCCGTTCAACACTGGCGACCGTATTTGATTGGGCGGCAGTTTGTGGTTCGTACGGATGATCGCAGCCTCAAGCACCTACTCACTCAGCGAATAGCAACTCCAGCACAACAGGTTTGGGTGGCGAAGTTATTGGGGTATGATTTTGTGATTGAGTACAAGACAGGCATCTCCAATGGAGCGACTGACGCTCTATCGAGGAGGGGGGAGGAAGCTGCACTGGCCGCAATCAGCAGCCCTGAATGGCTAGGAATGGAGGATGTGGATGAAGAGCAAAAAAGGGACAAATTCTTGCAAGGGACTGTTCAAGCCCTGGTTAGAGATCCAACTTGTAAGCCAGGCTATGAACTGATTGGAGGACGGTTGTTTTACAAAGACCGTTTAGTGTTGGCTTCAGATTCCAAGTGGATTCCTATCTTGTTGAAGGAATTTCATGACACACCGATAGGAGGGCATGCTGGGGCTTACCGCACCTATAGAAGGCTGGCCATGAATGTATTCTGGAGGGGGATGTTTCGCCGTGTGGAAGACTATGTGGCACAGTGTTTGGTTTGCCAGAAGAACAAGTACGAAGCTATGTCACCAGCATGATTGTTGCAACCACTACCCATTCCAGATCTGATTTGGGAAGATATCTCAATGGACTTCATTACTTGTTTGCCAAAATCGAAGGGGTATACAACGGTTCTTGTGGTAGTGGACAGGCTGTCCAAGTATGGACATTTTATAGCTCTTAAGGCTCCTATTACGGCACGATTAGCGGCAGAGGTTTTTTCTAAAGAAGTCGTTCGGTTGCATGGCATTCCACGATCTATTGTTAGTGATCGTGATTCCTTGTTTATCTCTGCGTTCTGGAAGGAACTGTTTGCACTTTCAGGAACACAACTGAAATTTAGTTCGGTTTATCACCCGGAAACGGATGACCAAACGGAGGTATTGAATCGTGTGTTGGAGACTTGCGCTGTTTTACTTGTGAGCAGCCGAAACAGTGGTTCAGGTGGCTTCCATGGGCTGAATACTGGTATAACACTGCATTCCAAACAGCAGCCAGGGTTTCTCCATTCGAAGTTGTGTACGGGAGACCACCACCGTCTATACGGAGATTTCTGCCCGGCGAGAGCAAAGTGGCTGCAGTGGCAGATGTGTTAGGGAGTCGAGACACCATGTTGGGATGTTTAAAAGAGAATTTAGCAAGGGCACAACAGCGAATGGTTGCACAGGCTAATAAACATCGCCGGGAGATCAATTTCCAGGTTGGGGACAAGGTGTTTATGAAGGTGAGACCTCATCGATAGTCTACAGTGTTCCGTCAACCTTACCATAAGTTATCATCCAAGTTCTATGGGCCATTTTTGGTTGAGGCACGAGTGGGGGCAACAGCTTACCGATTGGCGTTGCCTTCCACCAGCCGCATACACCCTGTGTTTCATGTATCCCAACTACGACGGGTGGTGGGCGATCACCCAATAGAGAATGAGCTGCCAGAAAGTTTGGAACTACCGGTGGAGCCAGAGTTTGAACCGGACAAAATATTGGCTCAGAGGGCAGGAGGCGAGGATGGGGCAGCTGAGGAGGAACTGTTGGTCAAATGGGTGGGACAATCTATTGATGATGCTACTTGGATGAGGAAAGACACGTTCAAGAGCCAGTTTCCAGATTTCAACCTTGAGGACAAGGTTGTTTCGAAGGAGGATGGAGTTGATAGAGAGCAGCAACTTGAATTGGAGGAGGAGAGACCGAGACCATTGCTGGTCTACCGAAGGCGGGGACGGGCTTGAGCCCACCTCCGTGGGCTGGGTTTCTTTTTAATAAACTTTTAATTTATTAATTATTCTGTTGTTTCTTTATTGGGCCTGGGGAGTATTTTAATAAGGATTATGTATTCCGTAATTAGGGTATTTATATCCCTAATTAGGGTTCAGCGAAGGCGGCCATCAAGAATATTCAGTTTGGAATTTCTGTATTCATCAACTAGTGCAGTACATGCTCTAAAATATTTGATCTATTTCTTTCATCAATATAAAAACATATACAATACTAATATAGATATAAGTCACTTAATTGAATTTAAGATTTTGGAAAAACCACTTATTAAGATAAAACTTCAAATGGCGGAAGGGTATTAAGGTCTTGCTACTAAGAATAATAACTAAAGTATAATTTCAATAGTAACCGGAAACTAAGACTAATAATAATAGGAAACTAATAGTAATGCTAAATGAAAGGGAAAGAAGTATGAACCAAATCTATTTCAATATTAATGCATGTTTTCATACTTTCAGGTTAATAAAGTGTCTGAAGCTGATATAGAAACAGAAATAGTGTTTAATTGCCAAATGGGGCGTGGACGAACTACAACTGGAATGGTGATTGCTACTTTGGTTTATCTTAATCGTATAGGAGCCTCTGGTACTTATTACATCTATCCTTGATTTTCTGACTTATTTATCATCCTCTATTTCCAGCTTGTACATTTCGGCATTGGGGGTGTTTGGTAAATGGCGTTTCAGCCAAAAATGGTGGTTTGACCACTTTTAGCGTTTTCGATAAGTGAAAACGCTGTTTGGTAAATAGCGGTTCGGCACTAGCATTTTTGAACGGAACCGCTGAAATGGAAACACTGCAAATATGAGAGTTTTGGGTTAGTGTTTTGAAAAATAGCGTTTTCTATTAATTTTATGGCCAAACAACTAAATTACCAAACAACTAAATTACCAAACATCTTCTGACAACCTGCCAACTTATTCCGCTAGTCAAACCTGCTGATTGAATCCACTATTGACAAGCCGCTAACATAATCCGCTAACCGCTAAATGCCAAACACGCCCATTACCCATATTGTAACTTGTAATTTTTAGGAATAAAACTTCCTTGATTGAATAAGCCACACGGCCAAGGTATAAATACACTTTGTACAGATAACAACTAGCTAGTACAGATCCTAAAAAATAGGATCTTGATAACTACAAAGCTTATCTACAAGTAACTGCATCTATTCTAGTCTATCCGACTAAATATGTACATCAATTTAATCAGAAAAAATAATGTAACATTTTCTACACTCCCCCTCAAGTTGGTGAATATATATCATACATTCCCAACTTGCTCACAAGTAGCTCAAATATAGGTCTAAATAACCCTTTGGTGAAGATATCAGCTGTTTGATCTTTAGTGGATACAAATGATGTGCAAATGATTCCAGCTTCAATCTTCTTCTTAAAGAAATGTCTGTCCACTTCAATATGCTTAGCACAGGGTTATGAGCAATGCTTATAACAGCTTTATTATCACAATACAACTTCATAGGCAGCTCAATCTCCATCTTCAGTTCTGTGATTACTCTTTTGATCTAGAGTAATTCACATATTCCATTAGCCATAACTCTAAATTCTGATTCTGCACTACTTCTAGCAACCACATTTTGTTTCTTACTTCTCCAGGTTACTAGATTTCCCCATACTTAAGTACAGTATCCAGAAGTAGATCTCCTATCAGATATTGAGCCAGCATAATCTGCATCAGTGAAAGCTTCAATTGTCCTACTGTCTCCTTTTTTGAAAAACAATCCCTTCCCTGAACAGCTCTTCAGGTATCTCACAATCCTGTAAGTAGCATCCAGATGTTCTTGGAGAGGATGATGCATAAACTGACTCACCATACTTACTGCAAATGCAATATCTGGCCTTGTGTGTGCCAGATATATTAATTTTCCCACCAATCTTTGATATTGGTAAATATCAACTGGAATTCCCTCCTTGATATCTCCCAATTTCTGACTTGGGTCAATTGGAGTGTCTGCTGGTTTGCAGGCACTCATTCCAGTTTCCTGTAGAAGATCTAGGATATATTTTCTTTGTGAGACAACAATACCCTTCTTTGATCTAGCTATCTCCATTCCTAGAAGTTTTTTAAATTTCCTAGGTCTTTGATCTCGAATTCATGAGCAAGTTTGTCTTTCAACCTTTTAGTCTCTGTATGATAATTTCCTGTGAGAATAATATCATCTACATAGACAATTAATATTGCAATCTCCCCCTTACCTGAAAACTTCATGGATAAAGTGTGGTCACCTTAAGCTTGATTAAATCCTTGCTTCTTTATGAAATTTGTGAACCTGTCAAACCAGGCTCTTGGAGACTCTTTAAGTCCATACAAAGCCTTCTCTAATCTGCAAACTTTTGACCCAAACTTATTTTTAAACCCAGGAGGAGGTTCCATGTACACTTCTTCTTGAAGTTTCCCATTTAAAAAAGCATTCTTCACATCCAGTTGTTGTAATGGCCAGTCTTAATTCGCAACAAGAGATAAAAGAATTCTTACAGTGTTTAACTTTGCAACTGGTGCAAAGGTTTCTGTGTAGTCAATTCCATAGGTCTGTGTGTAACCCTTGGCAACTAGTCTTGCCTTATACCTTTCCAAACTTCCATCTGCCTTAAACTTGGGAGTGAAAATCCACCTGCAACCAACTGTAGGTTTGTGTTTAGGTAACTCTACAAGCTTCCATGTCTGATTCTTTTCAAGAGCCTCCATCTCCTCCACAACAGCTTTCTTCCACTCAGGTTTAGATAGAGCATCTTGTATGGTTGAGGGAATAGAAATAGAAGAAATATTGGAAGTAAAGGCTGCAAAAGCTGGGGTTAATTTAGAATAAGAAACATAGTTTGAGATGGGGTATTTAACACATGTTCTTCTCTCTTTTCTGAGAGCAATTGGAAGGTCAAGGTTGTTAGGAGTATTACCTTTTTTACTTCCTGGTATTGAGTCAGAATCATGGAAAGTTGTAGGTTCTTGGACTTCCTCTATTCTTTGATTTCTAACCCTTCTCTCATAAACTTTGTCAAAGAACTGACTTGTCTGTTGATCCTTTTCAATTGGTTCAGTTTTATTTACTTCATTATTTTTCATTTCTTAGATCATTTTCAGATGTACTGTTATTTCTAAACGTATGATCATCTAGATTAATATCAAGAAAATTAAGGTTTTCATGAATATGTGGCACTATTGGAACATCTTCACTTAATTTCTCCCCTGAAGATGAGAATAAAAAAAGGTTCTTCCACAAAGAAGGTATCCATACAACCATTGTTTTGGTTGTAGGATCAAAACATTTATACCCTTTTTTAGTGACAGATCTATCAGGATTTTGTATAAACACTGTGCAACCATTTTTTTTTAAAGGAAGGTGTTTACCAATCTATTTGTAGGAAAGAAGTGTTGTAGTGAAATGATAGGACTTTTAAATCCTAAAGTTTTGGATGGCATGCGATTAATTAAATACGTAGCATGTAACACAGCCTCTCCCCCAAGGTTGTCAAAGTCGTGCGCCTGAGCGCTTAAGCGCAGCAGGCGCAGCGCTAGAGAGGTCCAGCGCCCTATTGATGGCCAGTCGCACCTTCCCTTCTAAGGCGCAGGTAAGTCGCGCAAAGCGCAGAAGCGCAGATGCACTATAAAGAGCTCGCTGAACGCGCCTGAGAAGGGAGGGTTTATTTCCGGTTTTACTTCACATGTGCGGTCAAACAAGACCATTAAGAAGCCCATTTTTTTACTAAAGCCCGTGTAAATAAGGTCAAAACAACTTAACCTAAGCTAAACACATAACACATAACGTAAACTGCTCAACGATCGAAGTAAGCATTCTTGTCCTTCATCTTCCATTTTATTTACTATGTATATTACTATATAACACAATATAATAAAGTACTAGTATATTACTATGTATATAATACTCTATATTACTCATAATAATATATTAATACTCTGCATTACTCTATATTACTCATAGCACTAGTATATTGTTATGTATATTAAAAAGTAATAGTACTCAATATTACTCTATATTACTCACAACATTAGTATATTGCTTTGTATATAATAGTCATAATACTCTGTATTACTCTATGTTACTCACAGCACCAGTATATTGCTAAGTTATTAATAAAGTAATAGTACTATGTAGGCTCACAAGTTTAACAAGGGGAAATAGGCTCCAATTTGATTGTCTTTTACTTATAGTTTTAGTATTAAAGCCATAAATTCTGAATTCAGGTATCTCAGAATCCTGTAAGTAGCATCAAGATGTTCTTGGAAAGGATGATGCATAAACGGACTTACCATGCTTACTGCAAATGCAATATCTGGTCTTGTGTGTGCCAAATATATTAATTTTCCTACCAATCTTTGATATTGGTGAATATCAACTGGATTTCCCTCCTTGATATCTCCCAATTTCTGACTTGGGTCAATTGGAGTGTCTGCTGGTTTGCAGGCACTCATTCCAGTTTCCTGTAGAAGATCTAAAACATATTTCCTTTGTGAGACAACAATACCCTTCTTTGATCTAGCTATCTCCATTCCTAGGAATTTTTTTAAATTTCCTAGGTCTTTAATCTCACATTCATGAGCAAGTTTGTCTTTCAATCTTTTAGTCTCTGTGTGATAATTTCCTGTGAGGATAATATCATCTACATAGACAATTAAGATTGCAATCTCCCCCTTACATGAAAACTTCATGAATAAAGTATGGTCAGCTTGAGCTTGATTAAATCCTTCCTTCTTTATGAACTTTGTGAATCTGTCAAACCAGGCTCTTGGAGACTGTTTAAGTCCATATAGAGCCTTCTCTAATCTGCAAACTTTTAACCCAAACTTATTTTCAAACCCAGGAGGAGGTTCCATGTACATTTCTTCTTCAAGTTTCCCATTTAAAAAAGCATTCTTTACATCCAGTTGTTGTAATGGCCAGTCTAAATTGGCAGCAAGAGATAAAAGAATTCTTACAGTGTTTAACTTTGCAACTGGTGCAAAAGTTTCTTTGTAATCAATTCCATTGGTCTGTGTGTACCCCTTGGCAACTAGTCTTGCCTTATACCTCTCCAAACTTCCATCTGCCTTAAACTTGGGGTTGAAAATCCACCTGCAACCAACTGTAGGTTTATTTTTAGGTAACTCTACAAGCTTCCATGTCTGATTCTTTTCAAGAGCCTCCATCTCCTCCAAAACAGCTTTCTTCCACTCAGGTTTAGATAGAGCATCCTGTATGTTTGTAGGAATAGAAATAGAAGAGATATTGGAGGTAAAGGCTGCAAAGTCTGATGTCAATTTAGAATAAGAAACATAGTTTGAGATGGGGTATTTAACACATGTTCTTCTCTCTTTTCTGAGAGCAATAGGAAGGTCAAAGTTGCTAGAAGTATTACCTTTTTCACTTCCTGACATTGAGGCAGAATCATGGGCAGTTGTAGGTTCTTGGACTTCCTCTATTCTTTGATTTCTAACTCTTCTCTCATAAGTTTTTCCAAAGAACTGACTTGTCTGTTGATCCTTTTCAATTGGTTCAGTTGGATTTACTTCATTATTTTTTTATTCCTTCATCATTTTCAGGTGTACTGATATTTCTAAAGAAATTATCA